CCCACCCCACCCCCCTCCCAGCTGCCACATCATCAGCACCAGATGTTCTCCAGCTCCACCATCAGGCTGAAACCTGACTCTGCTTCACACAGCAAGGATCTCTGTRTTTAACCTGTTTTCCACTGTGAGCTGCAACATTTGCTGTTGTTTCTCCTGCAGTTCAGCCTGCAGCCAGATCGATTTTATAGAAGCAAAGATTTGTTATAAATTCAACTTGATGTTTGCTGATGTGTCACTGTGATGCGATTCAGTGAAATGTCACTGAAATAATAAGTTTATAATTAAATTTGTTCATGGTTTATTTGCACGATGTGCTCTGATTTACAAGCATTGGGATGCTCTGAGCTGCATGGCCACTTCAGTAGTTAGTCTTAGTTTGATCAGTTTGATGGTTCCCTACCTATTTCATTCTAAAATCAGCTCAAGACCATGAGCAAAGAACTCATTTGTATGTTGTTTTATTTATTTTTTTTACATCACACTTATATATCAAGTGTAACAGTGGGCCTATAAGGATTTTTTTTTCACAAGATCACACCCTTACCCATCAATTACTTACGGCAATCTTTTTGGGCTAATTAAAATGAATTAAAATTACATGATTAGTTTACTGTAAGCTGGTTTTTATACACGCAACCTCTTTTCTTTTTTAATCTCTACAGGGTGCTTGCTACCAAAATCAAATGACATGGATTTTCCATCAGATCTGTTTTTATTTTTCAAAACTTGTRCAATAAAATATCAACAAATGCTACATCACTGCTGAATTTTTTTGCCTTAAATTTGAACATTTAAATGATTATCAATAACACTGTTTTTGCTTTGTGACGATTTTGCTTTACATTCGCTATTCTATAATATTACTCCAACGTGAATGTAACATTTAATTTATTAGTCTAGAACTATTTTATTGACATCTTTCACACGCTGAATAAATAGAATCAATAAAAACCTTCAAATTCACTTTTACACTGTTAAAATTTAATAAACTGTTTTACAAAATGCAGAAAATTTTAATGTAATCTCTAATAATATAAAAAAAGAAAAATTAGTAATTCAATAAAAAAAATAATAAAACAGCCTGAATAATTTAAGATTAAAAGTGGTGTAAGTGATTTAAGATCATTGATAAATACTGTATATTTCATGTCAAATTGCGCCCTCTTTTGAATGTTTCGAGTGTTGCAGGTAAAAATAAAATAGAGACGAAAAAGTCGGAGTTTGAAACCCTCGCAGCTTCCGTAGCCGGAGGTGGAGGAAGAAGACTGCTGTGGTGCTTCGACGTGGAATATCCGTAAAGAGGCGATGGAGAAGTAGTGCCCTGTAGGACCGAACCAACCCGTCCTAACCTCGAACCGAGACGGCATACATCCCCGAAACCCGGTCCGGGTTTGGGTAACAGGAACCGAAAGCCGCAGGGACTGAAATCTCTCTTCCTCWTCTTCTTCCTCGCGCCTCCTTCCACCAACAACCATGATAAAAGCCATTTTAATATTCAACAACCACGGGAAACCGAGGCTTTCTAAATTCTACGAACATTATGTAAGTAAAAAAAAAGAGGCAATTTTAGTTGACGTCATCTGTTATTCGCTCTTGATATTAGCGAGCAAAAACAAATGAATTAAAAATGAACGGTTATGCCTCGTGCTGTCGAATAAAATTAGCCTCAGTCAGTTCAGGAAATGTTGGCTATTTAAACACATTTAAACTAAATATTAAAGATGTAGATCTGGTCCACGCTGCAGTGAAAGACATGAATTATTAAAGATGTGAAATCCAAAGCGACGCGGTCTCATTTCGCCTGAGAGGCTGGGAAACACAGGTTTCTATAATCCAGCTGTTCTGAGCTGATGGAGACTGGGAGGTGAGTTATGTTTGTGTCACATGATTGGAACGACGCCCTTGTGAGAAACTCGTGCTCCTTTAAAAAAAACACACACAACACCATTCATTATTTTCTTTACCTCACGTTAGAAAATGTGAAGCTTATAAATGACAGGTTGTGTAATGTTTTCTGCTCAACAAGCTTATGAGGCTTTTCCTCATAATTGGATTTGGATCAGTGGTGCTTTTCACCATAATGTTGGTATTAGAATAACAAGGAGGCACAGTTAGTGTCCAAATCAGTTTATAATAAATCTCAGTTTGAATGAAAGTAAATGTGATGAACTACAAACAATTAGGAGTATTTTTTCTTTCAGCTATGACCCAAAACTGTAAGGAAACATATGCATCTTATGAACTGGAAGTGTAAAAATAACCTAATTGGGGGGAAAAAAACCTGTTAAAGCTGTTATTAGTAGCTCCTTAAAGTCACTATGGTAACCACACACCTGTATCTGTCACTCCCTGGCTGCCAAGTGAAGATTGAGACTGGAGATAAGACTCAAACAAACAGTTGTTGTTTAAAACCTTAATGTCAGATCTTTAAAATTCTTGAACGGTGAGCAGCAGAAGACTGTCGTAACCACACATGTTAACTTTCATGCTCCTTATGTAGATCTGAGACATTAATAAACACCGTTTAAATGTTGACGAACACTTTGAGCTAAAATATCACTGGAAGCTTGAATGTGGACACTTGAAGTCCTAAAATTTGAAGTATTATTTGTCTTTGTACCAAAAGAGTTGTGCGTTTGTTTACAAAAGATTAGCAAATTTTTGTCAATTCAAAAGTTTTTGTATAAATCAACTCCACTTTGTCAGATTGTGTTGCATTTGAGATACTTTAACAACGTTTATTTAAAAAAAATGCAAATAATCCTTTCTGTTTATGTCCTACCTGCTTGTTGATATGGATATGAGTTTGTGTGGAGTTGAGGGGGATAAATTTAAATCGATCGGATTACAAGGAGGATGTGTGGACACGCCATCTGTTACGTTTTAAGCCAAGGCGTCGGCTTACCTTCTCCCTGGATATAATATTTCACACTCGGTGTGGGCACCTGGGAGCTGTAACAGCATCTTTAACGTGCCACGCCGGGGCTGCACAGACTTATAACGCTGCTGTCTGAGGGACAGAGCAGTTGTGTTAGAGGCGGCGTGTCGGGTCAGGCTGGAAGCCGAAACATGTGGGTGAAATGGAAGTTGTGACCGTAAAGAATAGATGTAATTGTTCAGCCTCAAAAAAGACTGAATTGATCAGAGTTAAATGAAGAAATTGACCTTGGTTTGATATAAATGCTAAATACAAATGCAGGCAGTGATGCGAAGACAGTTGTCTTTTTGTTTGCTTCATAATTTTAATAAAACAACAAACAAGACAACGGTAAACACAGTTCAATTACGTGCCTTGTTTGCGTTTATAAATGGTATAAAAAATAATTTCAAATAATCTGCGGCGTGTCTGTAAACATGCTAATGTAGAGCCGAGTCCAAACCCAGTTATGTTCTCAGATTKGTTGTTTGTGAATATTTTTTGCTGTCCTGCTGCTGTGCTTGTTTGCGTCGACGAGCTGTGAGTTCTGTTGACGCTGCTCGGTCCGTAAATGCGTCACGTGGCCAATTCAGCCTCCCCAGCCACCTGCGTAAGCGCCACATCCTCTCTGCTGGTACTCTCTGACCTGAAATGGACCTTGAGAGGACATTAGCACCCTTTCGGTGAGGCAGCCTCAGCCGGAGTGTTTGATGATCAGGGTTACATGAAAAAAATGTCCAACAATGATCTGTTTTCTCCGGTGGAACCGCAGTTTATTCGAACAGGTTTTAGATTTTACATAGTCTTATCCACCTGGAAGCTACGAGATACGTCTGTCTGGTTCTGTTTATACAAAAAAAATTCCTTACTTTGTGAMCTCCAGGTGCTGGTAGATGTTTAAATAAGACACAGAAAAAACGTTGGTGTAGAGATTGATGTGTTTACTCTGTAATAATGCAGCTAGTGTTAGGAAAAGTAGCTCAGTCTTCTAATCGCCTCACAGGAAGTAATAAATGCGTAAACAAGATATTGTTATCTTGTTTTTGTTTTAACAGCTTTTCTTTTTTGAACTTGTCTTGCTTCAGAATGAAGACACGGAGCAACAAATCATCAGGGAAACCTTTCACTTGGTCTCGAAAAGGGATGAAAACGTCTGCAATTTCCTAGAAGGTGGAATGTGAGTCGTGATGTTTTACTGGAACGGTGGTTCTGAGGACGAGGCAAACGTTAGCAGATCATTTGCTCTGTTGCAACATTACATCACATTTTTACATGCAAGAAAGAAGAATATTTTTTCTTTTGTTTTGCCCTTTAGTATAAATAAAATAAATGCCAAAAAGGGATTGTAGTAAATGTAAAACAGTTGTCAATATTAACTGGCTGTTGCAGAAAACAAATCATTAAAATTACTTTTTTTTTTTTTACAGCTTCTTATGTTCTTTCCTGTGCTGATGAAAACACTGATTTCTTATCAAACCCTTCGTCAGAGTTTATTAGCACAGCTTGTGTTGTACTGGTTTATCTCGTGTCCTATCGTTACTCTCATAACTAAATGCATCCTGTTGTTTCRCACCTGTTTGTTTTGTCGGTGTCATAACAGGTTTGTTTGATTCCGTCTCTTATCAGGTCATGCTCGGGGGGGCAGAGTGCAGGGTTTGCTGATTTTATAGAAACTGATAAATAAAGAGGCTAATAAGATGAATTTCCAGAATTGTACTGTTGGAAATATTTTAAGAGTTATAAGATATTTTATTTTACAGCTAACCAGTTATTTAGTTTTTTTTAATTTGTTCTCGTCCCCTCAGGTTGATCGGAGGATCAGACTACAAGCTGATCTACAGACACTACGCCACACTTTATTTTGTGTTTTGTGTCGACTCCTCAGAAAGCGAGCTAGGAATTTTAGACTTAATCCAGGTAAAAGCGAGGTAACTGCCCTGTATTGTTTACAGTGTTTTGTTTGGATGTTTGTACAGTTTTGATTGTTTTTTGTCCATTTTCAGGTTTTTGTGGAGACGCTGGACAAATGCTTTGAGAATGTCTGCGAGCTCGACTTAATTTTTCATGTAGACAAGGTGAGCTTTTTGTGACTTAACATGCTTATAGTAGTGTTTGATCTGTGAGAGACAATTGACCATTTATAATATGACTGCTGCAGTTCTTCTCAGTTAATATTATGAGCTAATGGTGATCTGGACTCATGACATCACGCATATCATTTACATTGTCTGCCGCTCTCGCTAATGATCGTACAGTCGGCATGGATTCTAATGAGATTCAGTGGTAATATCATAACAGAAAAAGATGTTCCTAAAGCAAATTTGGACACATTCGACTTCAGGAATCACAGGAAAGTTCAGTTGAAATGTTGGCTGAAGGGTTGAGGTTTTCGACAGACTTGAAAAGCAAGTGAAATTTTTTAAAAAGTTGGCATTTTTACTGGTGTCTTTGTAGCTTAGCTTTCTGCGTCTATTTTGTGCATTTGTTAACCTTTTAGAATTGTTTCTGTTATACACACCTACCTTGTCTAGACCAGTGGTCCTTATGGGGACCAAAGACTGGTGCTAAAATGGTGGAACTCCATTTTTGGGTTGGGGGTTAGGTTTGGGGTAAGGGGTCAGGTTTAGGCTATGGAAATGACTGGAAATGAAAAGTCAATGAATGGTCCTAATAAGAATAAAAATACAAACTTGTGTTTGCATGCGTGCGTATTTTTCATTCGAGCTACTTTTTCTGCATCATTTAAAGAAACTTAACAGTGATGTTTAAAAATTTTTATAAATATAATATTGGCGTACATGTGACCAACTGCAGTAGAATGCTGTAGGAGGTTAGTATGGATGCTATGAGTAAAGCTACCAGTGCAGAAAAACAATACTGTTACTGTAACTGTTTGTGGACAGAAAGTGCAGGGATAGGATCTGGGTGGTCCTGTGTTGGTTTTTTTTACCTCCAATAAAATATTTGGAGTAGATGTAAGTTCATGGTTATACTTCTTCCGGTCAAAATTGACTGTCCTATTGCTCGAATCCAGCTGTTAGCTAGCATTTTAGCTTGAGAATAGTGTGAGTGTTTTATGTGCTGCAGAACAGGAACCTGCTGTAAAATAGCAATTGTGCTGAGTCAGGCTTGATTTTTAGTAATATTTTCCTGTTCAATCAATACATCAAATCAAATCAAATAAAAAAAAGTACTCCTCATTGATGAGTGTATCCTGAGTCACCATTACAAGAATCATAACACGTTTTGTGGTCCTCCCAGTGGAAGTCGACGCATGTTTTAAACATGTTTTTAAAGACTACTCTCATGCTACTTCTAGGTGCACCACATCCTGGCTGAGATGGTGATGGGTGGGATGGTCCTGGAGACCAACATGAACGAAATCATCACCCAGGTGGACACCCAGAACAAGATGGAGAAGTCTGAGGTAAGCATGTTTCTGCCCCTTCATCGTGACTCGATTCTACCTCCAACCTCCTGAGGTTTTGTCTACAGTATGCAGGCATGTGTGTATGCTGCACCCTGCATGCTACTCTCCAGTAACTGTGGATGCTCCCTACCTACTCTTGAGTGTTTGTGCTCTTTTTTTTTTTCGGCCTCTTCTCTCGCCTCTGCACTGCTCTCAACGCAGATCAAGACGAGATATAAATTCTACTGAAATCCCAGTATGAACCAGAGTGTTAACTGCGCAAACCTAATGTTACCATTGTCCAATGCATCGCAGAGTTTGTCACCATTGAATATCATATCACTTAAACTTGACATGGAGGAATGAGCTCAGTCGTTTCTGTTGAAGGATGTGAGTTTTAGATGCTGTTTAGGTTGAGGTAAATGTTTTCAGATGTGTCACATCTCCAAGCCAATGTCCTTGCTTTAGCTTTGAACTCTATGCAAACATCTTGCTTTGTTTTCCATACAGCTTCTGCTATCAGATAAATATCCATTTGCATTTTTGAGAAGCTTTTTTTAAGACCGAGATAATTTTGGTAAATTATTTTTGCTCTGCTCTGTTCTGACTTTAATATTTTGTCTGTTTCGACTCCACTGATCATGCAGCCTTTTTTGCAAATCAGTTTTACGATGTAGAAAAACTAGTCAGAAATTAGTTTTATTTTTGGAACTTACATGACAAAGTAAACTGATACTAGATGATTTTTTTGTGATTTTGAAATCTAACAATCTAAAGTATTTTTTATAACAGTTTGAGCTTCTTTATTTGCTTTTAACCAGACAGACTCTTCTTGTTCAATTGGCGTTTTGTAAGCAATCTTTTATTGTTCTTCGTCATCAGAGCTGCTCTGTCTCTTCCCTCTTGGACCTATCGTAAACCACAGAGTTTATCTCTCGCTAATTTGAAACGGACATTTCTTCATTTATGAAAAAGTGTCTGGCGAAGGAGAAACAAGCCGTTTTCCTTCCAAACTGGCGTTAGTCTTAATGTATTAAACTGTGTCCTTTAAACGGACGTCTTTATTTTTTTATTTTTTTTATAATAAAAAGTGTTTGAGTAATAAAGTTAATTATAACTTTTAAATTCATGTGGTGTACTATAGGTCCTTTCACTATCTATGGAGATAAACTGTTATTACTTTAATCTGCTTTAACATTCCTCATTCCTCTTTTTCCTGACCCTGTCCAGTTCTTTCCATTCTTCTCTCTCTTTACAGCTGTTTAGCTTTCAGTCTACCAGGCAGGACAGGTAGACACAGGTACTGCTAAATTTACAACCAAATACTCTAACTGTAACTGAAGTTTACGTCCCCTTTCAGTCTCTCCACTTGGCCCTTCRTGTATTAGTAAACTGACGTCACTAACGTACAGTAGAAATCTTTGGTAGCAGACCCAAAAATCTCTATTTGTCTTTAGATGGAAGCGCAAGGCGYACACTTTGACTTAAACGTGAGGAAGTAAAAAACAAAAACAAATAAATAGAACTACAGTCTTGTTTTGTAATTTGCTACATTTGTAGCATTACATCATGTCAGACAAGAATGTTAAAGTCAGACCTAAAAATTGAAAGGAGATGTTTCCTGGGCTAACAAACGAAGTCAGAAGTAGAGTTTCCTTTTAAATGTCATGTAGTTTAAAACTGTAGTTGTCGCCCTCTGCTGGCCAGTAGAAAACATTCAGTTTCAGAACAGCTGTGCAAACAGTGATGTCAGTGTAGCTACATCCTGTCTTAATTTAATGGTTTTTCATTTAATTACATTTGATGTTAAAGTTCTAGCTTCTCCCTGATTAGATTAGGTGAATTATAATTAAGCATTAAGTGAATAGCTGTGTTACTTAAAACAGTGGTTCCAGATGTTGGGGTCACACCAAGTGAGGGTTCCCAGATGATTACCAGAAATCAATTTAAATGCAAGGAAACTGCTAATAGAATATTTATTTATTGCAACAATTATTGCAAAAATGCACTAATCACAAAACAATTGTTTCACAGTTAACAGGTTTATCTATATTATTATTATTATGCCCATGTTTAACAGAGTTATTAGCAAAGTTTGCATACATAAACCAGTAATGTGTTTCTGCAGCTGTTATTTTGTTGCCTGGACGCTAAAAAGTAAAAAATAAACAAAACAAACAAAAATAAATAAAGAGAGAAAATGCCAGAACATGCAATTTGGGAAAGCTGAGAATTTTAGGTCAGTGGTTTTAATCAAGAATGAAAAGCTTTTACTTAGTGCAGGAGATTAAACCACTGCTCTTTGTTTCATAGATGGATATTTGTGTGCATTAGTCACACAAGTGATTTGAATAAAATTATTTCAGCATCACTAAGTGAGTGACCAGACAATTTAATCCAACTGTTGTGAAAATAGTCTTCAGTCTGATTTTTTTTTAAATATTGATCTAATGTGCTGCATCAGCATTCCTCTAGTTTAGCTACTATCTCAGCCTTACACAAGTCTCCTCGACTCCTGGCACAGCCACTGAAATAACTATGTGGAAAAACTGCAACAAACTTATCTACATGCCAGGCATGCTTTGCACTACGTTTTTTATATATTTGTAAGGGTTTTCACTCGGGTTTCTAAGAGGCTGCAAACACACAGCCCCTGCTGCCTGTGTTTGAAACTGTTTGGTCATTTTTGGGTCTGTCTGCTAAAGATTCAGTCGGAGGTTCTCTAACAGCAGTGATTCTCAAATGTCTGCTTAACACGTTACTAAAACTTCTAATCATTCACTCGCCACAGATGCTTTTTTTTTTTTTAAAGACTGGATTTCTTTTGTACAGTACCACTTTGAGTGTTGCTGTGTTAGAGAGTGGTGCCTCCTCTGCCCTGAGAGTAGGTCTTGCTTTGTAGTTTAGCACCGTCAGGCTAGCAACCTCCTCACATTGATCAAACAGATGYGTACATGACACAAAATTTATACTCCTTTTATTCACACAGTTATGCACAAATATCTATTTAGCTACAGTCAAGTGTAGGTTCTTCAGAAGTAATCTGACCCACCATATGTACGGTATCACCTGCGTAAATATAGCTAAAGCTTTGAATCGCACATTCTACACATACCAATCTGTCCAAGCATCACATTACGTCTTCATATCCAAATCCAGTTTTCCTTCTGCTTCACACAATTCTCTCCTCGCATTTTTACCCTTAACGGTCCTCAAGAGTCCGGTGGGTTCACTTTCCAAGCAATGCTGCCTTTTGTCCATTTGTCCAGTTACTCCTCAGAACTTCAGTATTAGCGAATGAGTAGTCTAGTCCAGAATGTCCTCACAGTTGACTCCTAATTGTCGCTGGTTGTGATGTTCATCATTCTAGAAACAAATAATGCATGTGCGTATGAAGCTAAAAAGGCATCTGAATGTACATTTGCATATGTTGTCTGTGTCGGTGCTTTTGCATTTTGTCAGCAGTTTACTTTTTTCCTTTTTATTTATTTTTTGTTTGTCTAGTCCTCAGTTTAGCACTCTGTGTTTTTGTGTGTCTAGTGTTCATTGTTTAGTGTATTGTTGTGTACAGATGTTTTTTTAATTCTGTTTGCTTGTTTCACTGGCTTGTATCTTATCAACCCTCGTTGTGTTTTGTGTGTGTGTGTGTGTGTTGGTGTGTGCAGGCCGGTATTGCAGGAGCACCTGCTCGTGCCGTATCAGCTGTAAAGAACATGAACCTCCCGGAAATGCCCAGAAACATCAACATTGGCGACATAAGCATAAAAGTGCCAAATTTACCTTCCTTCAAATAGTGGCAGCGAGATCCTGAGCCTGCAGATGTCAGCCGATGTTTACCTTGATGCAATCTGTTTACCAAAACCTCAACTTATTAATTTTTATCAACTTTCTAAGTCTTGAAGGTACTGTGGATTTTGACACTCCATGTTGCGGTGTTATCTTTTTGATGTTTACTTTCTGTAAAAGATAAAAATAACTTGTTTTTTTGGTGTTTTTGTTTTCTGTTTGAAGGAGAAAAAAAGTATTTATCAAAGGTACATTCCTTCTGTCTCACTGAAGCTGACTCATGTCATTCAGCTCCTTCGTACCAGATCTGTGACATTAGAAAAAATTAAWTAAAACTATTTTACTAACTCAGAAGTGCAACATGAAGTGACATTTTGGAAGAGATTCACTGGTTTGGTTGTTCCAAACTGGAGAAATTCAACCAAGGAATGAAGACAAGTAAAATAATTTGAATTCCAAAGTTGAGACATATCTGCTACAGTGTTAAGTTACAGCATGTTATTATGTTAAACTGCAGAGATTCAGACATATCTAAGTGCTTATTTTCTTTTTATTATTTGTATGTAAATTTTAAATGATGCATCCTGTTTTATGAAACAACTCTTAATTTTCATTTGTGCATGGTGTTTTTTGCTTATTTTTCCACAATAAACTGTCAAAAAAATAAACCGTTTCTTTGTTATCATTGATACACTGAAGCACGTACTGTACCATATTAAAGCAACACCATTTCCTAAATATCCATGATGGCTTCCATGATTTAACACTGCATGGAAAAGTTTTATTGGGACTATGAAGCATAGAACAATCTTGGTAATGTTTTGAAAATACAACATACTGTGCAAATTGGTATAAAAGGTAAAGTTAAAAAAGATGAAAATTTAACAAAAATAATCTATGGTGAAACTAAATGTGTGCGTTAGAGTTCAGTTTAAGGCATTATGCGACTGCATACAGTACATTTAAGAGTTGACCAAGGATACAGTGCTTAAAAAAGTTTTCACATTTTTTGTAATTGTATATATTTTTATATTAGAAAAGCCCACGGTGGTGCCACTGAAGTGCTAAAAACATGAATTTCAATGGGTTTTAGCCCTTTGTTCTGTTCAGCTGCTGCTTTTACTGCGCATCCTTACTGCGCATGTTCGTCACATGATCCGTCTTGTGACAACAGGAAGAAGAACGGTGTGAAGATGCTGCAGCTACTGTGACAAATATCAAGGGTTTATTTTGAGAAAGAGACACAAAATGACTTCTGTTATAAAAGAAACACAAAGGTGAGACAGTTTTTTTCTTAATTTCTTTTTTTTTTACGCCACAGAACAATTTAGGTAGGAATGTTAGCATAGCATGATATTCATGTTTTGTTGTGGCACATAAACACCCGGGTCTGTCAGTCTCGACTATTCCAAGACTACATATTCTTGCCTGAAGCTTAGTATAAATCGCGGTCGTGCAGATGTGCTGAAGCCGATACGCTGTTTTTTGTTCAAAGTACAACAACGTTCCTGTAACTAAAATGACAATCGGAGCATTTCAGTTGTCGAAGGATCACATACTAGTGTATGATAATATAATACTACTTTTGTGAAACTTTTTATTTTACGTGGTCTTAATTGATGTTGCAGAAACTGAAGTCTAATATCACAATTATCTTGTAAGATTCAAAAACCGCACTTAACTCAACTTTCTGTATAATTTATTATTTTGGATGTAACAGAGTTTGAAGAATGAACATTTAACAAGTAGATTAAATGTTAACATGATTATAAAAACACTTTTGTTTTTTTTTAATACTGTAGTTTTTATTTAAAATCATATAGACAGCTACTGAAATTGGTTGCAGTGCACTTGACTGATGTATTTTTAGTTAAATGTGTTTGGGTTATTTATTTATTTTGGTAGTTGTTGTACTTTATTTACTGTACATACCCTTGCATTCACTAAGAGCTTGCTCTATTCACCTGCAAAACCATGCTGCCAAAGTTAGAGCCATGCCTTGCTGCTATGTTTATGGTTGTTTGGTTGTTTTTGTTTTTTTTTTGTTGTTGATGTTTAAAGGTTTCAACCAAAGAAACATTTTATTAGTATTTGACCTAAGCTTGAATGATAAAGTTGAATTCTGTTTCTTCATTTAAAAATCGGAGCACCTTACTGCCATTAACTCTCTCTACGCTTCTTTCTGAATAGCATAAAAGAAGCTGTGACTCACATCAACGCCATCGATGTGAACAAGTTCTCCAGGTTAATCTCTCGCATCATTCAAAAGCTTCATCTGAAGGTACAGGCCCCGCACAGTGTCTTAAACAGATAATGCTTAAATTAGCCAAATTTAATTAAGTTCATTTGATTTACTAACAGATTTTTTCCCCTCGTGAACTTATGTTGGTTTGCTTGTTTGTTTGTTTGTTTGTTTTGTCAGGGAGAGCGAACCTTCAGTGAAGAAGAAGAGCATAAACTCCAGTCTGCGTTGTCATTGGATAAACAGGCTCTCAGCTTGGTCTTGGAAACAGCTGCCTTCATATTGGAACAAGTAATGTTCAAAAAAATGTATTATTTATTTTAGATAAAACCTTTAGATTTTAAAAACAAAGCTAGCTTTGTTATTTTAGACTGCCCTGTATTGATCCTTCAGTTAAATAGGAATAATTATTTGTTTTACAAAGTTGTTTTTACCAATGGATTTGATGGATGATGAAAAATAAAAAAAGCTTTGTGTGTTTTTTCTGCACTCTGCAATGAACTAAAAATGATGATTAAATCTATCAAAATATATGCTGTTTTAGTGAAGACAAGTACCCTGTTTTCAAAATTTAGCTGAATTCTGTGAATTTATGTAAGTTACACTTTAGCATTTTATAATACACATGGACAAAAGAACACAATTTTTTTATGTGTGCAGATAGTAGGGTTGGGCAATATTTGCAAAAAAATTAATCACGATTAATTGTGGTATTTAGCCGAAAACGATTAATATGACGATTAATCCCCTGGAGTTCCCGGACACTCTTATGTCCTGGTCACATGACCAATTTAGTGGTTAAGATTTGCTCTTCGTAAAAATCTGTTCCAAACTGTGCCAAAATTACAGACTTCGGGCTATACGTCAAATTTAAAATTGTGTTGATAGATAAATAAATACAGAACTTTATTTTTAATGTTCGTCGTATTTGAAGTGGAGAGGAACATSGAGCRGACTAAACYGGARTAATCCCCAKTCAGTCTGCCTTGTGGCATTAGTCGTATTAATCGTCAAGTGCCAAAATGTAATCGATTAATGYTTTTCTGATGATTAATTGCACACGATACGWTTATGCCCAACCCTAGCAGATATATGCTCTTGARATATGTTGTTGGGACAAGATGGATCTTTTTTTCCAAGTTTCTGCACAGCTTTTTATTTAATATCCAATTTTAAATTGGCTTAAGAACATCAGAGACTGCATAGATGAATACTGTCTGTATGGATGTGTATTGYATTGTGTTTGATGAGCTCTATGCTGCAATAATATGTTTTGCTGAGAGTGTATATAGTCAATGCRTGTGTTTAATTGACATTTTTTCAAACTAGGCCGTGTATCACAACATAAAACCAGCATCTCTGCAGCAGCAGCTGGAGGTGATCCATTTAAACCCAGAGAAAGCTGAGGTGTTCTCTCAAACCTGGGCCACTGCTGGACCTGAGCTCGTGGAAAAGCTAAAGCAAAACRTTCTCGCCCCTAAGAAGGTAGGTTTATATTCAGCATGTAAAGATCTTTTCAACACATCGTTTAAGTATTTGTATACTTTAGCTGAAAAAACAACGGTTCTCACCGCCTCCATACTTACACACATTAATATTCACAGCATTACAAAGTCACTGAAAAATATACTTATTCACTCCACTTAATAGACTAATGATGTTAACTTGAGAAATAACACTGGACAGTTTTAAATCATACTGACCTGTTTCTGGCTTTGGATAAATTCACGGTTTGCTTTACAGATAGTTCTTTCAAATCTCGCACAAGTTGTAGCATAAATCTTTTAAGTTTTTTGTCTGTTTCCAACTTTATTAAAGATTAACACATCAAAAGACTTTTATTAATGCAGACTAAATCAACATTATGTAAAAATTATTCTGGAGCCGGTGCTGCTGTCATAATGTTCAGACGTCTCATAATTCATCTCCCTCCCACATGAAGCTGTAAGAAAAAACTGTTCACTCTCATGAGGCCATCTACTTCTGCTTTGACTTAAAGCAAAAATATTTACCTTTGTAATAAATACAGTCTCTGTTTTCTCTTATCCACTTTTTATTTTGAATTAAAAGATGCTTTTTGTTAGCCTGGYCCTTGCCTTCCTACACAGTTCCGCTCAATTCTAGTTTCCCTTCACTGATCCGTCTGGGATTTCTCCCATTGACAAGGATTTCCGCTGGCAGATTTTTAGCCGGGCCAATCAGAGAACGTCGATTTTCTGCGCAGTGTCTGCTTGTAGTTTATTTTACCTGGGCCAATCAGAAAACAGAAGGCGGAGTTTTGAACGACGTCGATGTTCTGTGCAGTGTCTGCTAGTTAGTTTAGTGGAGGAAGTGAATGAAGCCAGTCTGTGTTGATAAGGCTTCCAAATTAAATTAATTTGTCTGACAAAGCAGCAGCTCTCACTTACAGCTGTCTTGTTCAGCTCGGTACTTTTCTCCTCTCAGTAGGGTTGTTTACAGCACACGTGGTTTCTGGTTAGTTTCTTAGCTTAGCCTCCTTCACAGCGACACACACACGCTTCAGCAGAGGCCACGCCTCCTGCAAGAATCGCTTCTCTATGCAGCAAGTCCAGACCCTCGTATGAAGCAAAGTGAAGGACGTGGTCTGGATTTTACCAGGCTAGCTTTTTGTGTTTGACAATTCAAAAAATAATGTTAAAAATAATGTTTAAAGGTTAAAAAACTTAAAAAAAAAACAATTTATTTACATCGGCTAGAACTAAAATGGACATAATGACTTAGTGGCGCTTCATTTGGGAACATTATGGATGTGCTTCTTTCTACCCCTCACCTGTTTTCTGCTGCTGTGGAAGCATCCAAAGCAATAATTCACACATTTTATTATTACTGTGGCCTCTGTCTGCATCATAAAACACTTAACTGACCTGCCTTGACTCACTGCTGCTAATCCATCATACTGCTACAGCTGACTGATGAAGTATCTGTGTGAGTCAGTTAGAACAGGTGGGGAGAAGGGGAAATCGTGACAAGYGAGGGACTCTGCAAGTGTTTCTTAGGATTAAAGCACCACATGGCCCTTTTTTTGTTCTTACTCAAAGTTTCAGGGTTTTCTGATGTTAGCAGTCCATGAAATGGATGTTACTAGGCGTTATCAGTCCCATACAATGGCTTCAGAGGATCCCTACTGTGCCTTCTAGGCTTCAGACTGTCCCGACAGTGTCCCCTAATGGGTTAATATATCAATGACAATGAATGTGTAAATAACCAAAAGATAGTGTAATAAATTATTTGTACCCGTGTTGGTCTTAAACCCTGGACTCCYGCTCTCTGGTCCATCACTCTACACATTACCCTACTGGAAGGCCACAATATACAACCTTTGGAGGGCGGGGTCTTTGGCGCTAACCATGTCATTTGCTCTAAAGTTAACCTTAGTGGCTTTAAGCCTCATATTAACCATTTTTATGCCTCATATTAACCAGATAGTGGCTTTTTATGTCTCATATTAACCAGATAGTGGCTTTTTATGTCTCATATTAACCAGATAGTGGCTTTTTATGCCTCATTTTAACCAGATAGTGGCTTTTTATGCCTCATTTTAACCAGATAGTGGCTTTTTATGTCTCATATTAACCAGATAGTGGCTTTTTATGCCTCATATTAACCAGATAGTGGCTTTTTATGCCTCATATAAACCAGATAGTGGCTTTTTATGTCTCATATTAACCAGATAGTGG